TCTGCTAGTTTCTTCTGTATTTCCTCTGAATAGACAACTTTAGATGGTTGTTGATTGGAACTGGAAAACGAAGAAAGCGGGACGAAATTTGACGGCTGCCATTTAGGGCGGCGCCGAAGAATTCTGATGTTGGCCGCCATGAGCAAGCTCTGACGTTCCCTGTGATTTATCTTAATACTGAGGCTTATCTTCTGTAGATGACAATAGTGTGATTACCCAGATGCTCAATTACCAACAACAGTTCATTCAGTTGTATTTGCATCAGCTACACAATAACTATCTCCTCATGTTTCTTCCCCTTGCCCTGAATCCGTAGATGACATCTACAAAGCATAAATATTAAAACTTCAATTTCAGGTAAAAACAATGAGAAGGTTAAAAACAAATAGCACATGCTAAGTATATGTAGAAGGCCTAATGTCCTATAAACTTTACTCTAAACGTATGCAAGAAGGCTTTTTTTTTTTTTTTTTTTTTTCTGAAAGATACTTGTAGATTGTGAAGGATCAACAAGAACTACAACAACTTGATTTCAATCTGTGAGGAAGATGTGTTAAACTCATTTTCTTTCTGATGGTAGGCTGCTCATCTAAACATATTACTTTGTTTATTTTTGGCAGAAACTAAACATATTCATATTAAATTGATGGTAGAAAGTGAAATCCTGCATATGGTGGAAACATATATATCACTTCCTGAATGGTAGGCTGCTCACTTTATTTGTGGCAGGATGATGATACATATATTCAGAGTTAGACCTCATAGAATTTTTACAGTAGCCCAGAAACAAGCAGTTAGCCAATGAATAGCAAATGAAACCAAATTACAAGAGACAAAAAAAAAAAAAAAAAAAACTCCTCAGCTCATTACATCGTCTAGTCATAATATCAAGCAATGCCGCAAAAATGAGTCCAAAGCAGACAACACTAGAATTAGTTGATCACTGTTGTCACTCCACATCATCACATCACAGTGCGCATATTCATATTAAATAGACTGCAGAAACTAAAATCATAGTAAAATTAATTTTTTTTTTTAAATGTAACAAGAAATCGTGTATATGAGGATAGGTTTTTAGAAAATGGGTCATCACGAAGAAATGCTGAGTTGCAATCTATTCAATTCTAGTGATATTGAGTTGAACACACCTGGAATCTGAATAGCTAGTAAGAGGGTTTCTGGCTTTCTGATGCTCTCTCGGTGATTCAGAATCGCGGAGGGTAAGCTCGAGAGTGAGCGAGTGTAGAGGAAGAAGTAGTAAGGTAAAGTGGAGTTATCTACGATAACTCACTCAAGTCAAAAATAATAATTGACGAGGGAGTGGGTTATTTGGAAAAGAACGAGCGTACAGATGAAGGAAGCACGTCAGCTTTAAAAAATAAATAAATAAATAAATAAAATAAAATTCTCAAATAAATAAATAAAATAAAATAAAATTCTCCTGCAAAACACTTGTTTCACAGGAGAAATAATTGACTTAAAAATCTTGTATCCCATCAACCAAAAACCTTGTTACTGTTCCAAAATTCACCAAAAAAGCATTGGTGTGGATGTTCTCACTGTTTGCGTTAGGGAGCCAGGAGCATAAGGTAAAACATCATAATCAAAACTTCATACTTAGTTTCCTTACTTACACTACTTTGTACCAAAAGCTCTTCTGTTCGCGATAGGCAAGGTCGGACCTCGTACCGTACTTAGAGTACTAGTCGCTTGGTTGAGATTATTCAACCTTGGAACAAAAAAGCTTTTCCGCTCAGCAATAGCCAAGGTTGAGCCTTGTACTGCCTGCTTGGTCGAAGTCATTCGACCTTGGACCAAAAATATCTTCCATTCAGCAATAAGCAATAAGTCTAATTTGTTTAATCAACTTTAACTTGTTTAGATGATCAAACAACTAATATGCGTGTTTAGTGAACAATATTTTTACTTAGTTTATTGATGTCAATAAGCCAAAAATAAAAAAACTACTTTGAACAATTTATTGGTACGGAGTATTAACTTATTACATTTTTATTTTAAAAGTCTAATTTATCCTTAATAATTGTATCATTACCGCCTAAAGTCCAACATCTAAATTGACTCTTTTGACCAACACACTCAAATATGATTGGACTTCTCATACAAATTGAACCACCATCTGAGTTCTCTCTTTGTTCTAGGAATCTTATAATATCTGCTTCAAAGGAGTAATTCGAAAAAGTTATCTCCACCTTAGAGCCGTTTGCCACATTCTAAAAAATCAACATTTCTAGAATCCAATAGCCCTTCCGAGTTACTCATTCCATCACCTCCCATCAAGTACTGGATTTCAATACTTTTTCAAAAATTAGAAGTTGATTTTTGTGGGTATATCACTCACAATACCCCAACCTGCTTCATCTACTTCAAGGAGGGGAAACCTGGTAGTAAGAGAAAGATATTGCCCCTGAATAAAGCCACCATCTTCCAGATAATCAACCTTTTTCTCCACAAAAGTAGATGAGTGGATTTCATCAACTGCATACATTGATTGTTGACTATAGAGGGGAATTTGCAGCATGGTTTCAGGACTGAGCATTTCCTGAAAGGAGTATATATATAAGCTCTGAGTTCCTGATAATAATAATAGGGAGATATCAAACAGAATTCAGGATAAAAACACATGTATAGAACTCAGTAGTTAGCTTTCAGAGTCTCATGAGCAATTGTAATGTGGATAACGTATAAGATCTAAGCGGCGTTTGGTTTACGGAATGTTAGATTACTTTAGGGAATGTTAGATTGCTTGGAATGTTAGATTATCTTAGGGAATGTTAGATTCATGTGTTTGGTTTAAAACTAAGATATGTAAATAAGACAACGGTAATAAGATAAATTGATTAAAACGTCCAAAGACTAACATTAGTAATAAGACAAGGGAATGTGAGATTATCTAAGAAATTGGAGGGTATCTCACATTCCCTTCCAATAGCTAAAAACTTAATGCGGAGGTTATTTGACATTCCCTGGGAAAGTTACATAACTTGAACCAAACATGGGAATCTTATATTACCAAGCAAATATAACCTTGGTTATCTTATATAACCTGAACCAAATGCCCCCTAAGAGTCAAATAATATAAAGATTTATTTCCTACAATAGAAATCCATACCATTGATTCCCTTATTATTTGCACTTCCACTAGATAAACTAATAGAAATATTCCAACAGTATATAAATCCATATTATTTTACTCCAAATATTTACTACCTTCTTTTCAGCAAAGGAAATGTCGGGAAGAATACTAATGTCCTCAAAATAAAAGGCAGATTTTTCCTGGGAAAAAGCATAAATAAATTTAGGTGAAGGCATTTATAATTAAGCATATATATCATATATGCAGCATATATGAATCAGATCAAATCTTAAGCATGGGGGTTTACCATTGGAAGCAAGAATGAATCGAGTTCTGGATTCTCATATTGTAGAATGTCAAATATGATGTCTTGCTTACCATCAATGAGAATACTGTCTTCCTGCAGAGAAATGTTTCATTATATCTTAAAATTATTAGAGAAGGCTAAATCAGCAGAGAAAATCCAAGTCAGCAGCCTAGTCAATGTCAGCAGTGGTTAGCTATTCTGTTAGCTTAGCTGGAAGGAGTTAGTTAGGCTGTTAGCTATTCTCTCTCTCCCTTCTTCTTCCTCTTCTTCTTTTTAACCATATATTTCTGCTAAAATTTATATCCTCAACTATCAAAGTACCAGTAATTTCTTTGGCAAATACCAAGAGCCATAAAAAAATTGCAGATTAAACATGAAATGACTCAAGCTGTACTTCAAAGGAACATATTCTCCAAGGTAATTCTATATGATCTGACAATGAGGACTTGTCAATATTCTCTTGGTGATATTACTTGCAGATGAAGTAGATGTTAGTCTAGGTGGTGAGTCCAAAGAGTATCAAAATTGTCAACAGCAACACAAACAAAATTTCATACCCTAGCCAACCACAAAGTACTCAAACCCTGCCTGAATTCCAAAGAAAACCAAGTTCAAAAGCAGGAAAATCCCCTGATCAGGCCCTGGCTCTTGATCATAGTATTGAGGCCATGCACATCTCCAAGCACAGACACCACGCTGGTGAGATGATACATAACAGTGATATATATACACAAGCCCTACCATGTAGGCGATCATTAGAAGTGCAACAACAAACAATCCAAACTAAGTGTAAAATAGTCCATGGTGAGAGTTTCAAGTTTTGGATATCATTATCAATTGCTTCATTGAGCACCAGCAAAAAAAAAAAAAAAAAAAAAAAAAACTATATGAAAAAAATGCACATGACCTTGAATCATCTCATTTTAGTTTCTGTTTTAGGCTTCCAAACTAGTGTAATATGTTTGCTGAAAAAAGGAAATCTATGGATATTCGTATATAATACAGAAAGCTAGCATCTATCACCTATGTCATATAGTATAGCTCTCGAAACCATTGAGCAACAGTACATAATACCAAAAATATAACCTACGTTGAATTCTGGTTCTCTGCAAAAACTCGACCAATTCAACAATCATTAAATCACTCAAGACTGTTGCATACGTGGACACTGACGCCAACTTCAAATTACACATAATAATACTAATCAGCAGATATATTTACATTTTTAAAGTCAAATGGAATAGAACTAATAGACTTAAACATAAGATCCTTGCATAACTGAGGTCGAAGATTACCTCAGCATTTTGGTTGGAATGGAACTTGTTAGCTTGCTAGAGGTGGCTTTTTCGGAGTGAGATGGAGCATTATCGAAATCACGAATCTCGACATCAATGAAGTAGGGGAAGGATTCGGAGAGGAACTTAGACAGAGCTTTGTCAATCGGTAATTGTTTGATCCCAAGGCCAATGCTAAAAATGGACAAGGTCTTCGAATTCTGAGGAAGAAAGCAGGAGGTGAGGATTACTGAGGAAAAGGGAGGTGGAGGAAATCTGTGCAAGTGTGCATTGATGAGAATTTCATAGTTGTGATTGATATTGCCTCACAGAAAAAAGTTTTTGTATATGGTAGATTAATACCTAAAGAGTACACAGGACAGTAATTGGATAAACACTTGCATAAACCTACACAATGGGTCCACTTGGTATGTAGGAAACAGTGCAGAATGGATTTGAGATTCCAGATTTTGATTCGATTCCATTGCTCAATATGTAAAAATGGAAAATGAAATTCATTCTCCATATCCAATCATAACAATTTCATTCTGCCTAAAATGGGTGGATTTTCATTCTGTAGGTACCTCTTCAACATCTTTTATATCTTCTGATTTTTGATACAAGCGGCATATAGCACCCCTTTTCCACCATATATCTCACCACTCGATCAGCTTCCAAGAGCTTTCCAGCATTTAGCAAGTTTTTCACTAGTGTACTATACACAAGAAAATTTGGATTACGACCCTTTGATTCCATTTCTTTCAACATCAAACAAGCCTCCTCAAATTTCCTCGACATACAAAGCCCACGGATCATGGAGTTGTAGGTAAATGCATTTGGCAGCTGCCCCTTGTTAACCATATCAGAAAATAATCCCTTGGCTTTATCAAGTTCACCAGCCATGACATATCCGGTTATCATTACTGTGTAGCACATCACATCGGGCACTATCCCTTGTTTTATCATCCTGTCAAAAAAATATTTGCATGCATCCAAGTTGCCTGCTCGACTGAGCCCATCAATCAAAGTCGTGAAGTGAAGAATGCTAGGATCATAACCAACTTCGTTCATGTGATTCAAAAGATTAAGAGCTGCTAGTGGTTTGTCCCATTTTCCAAGGACATGAAGAAGTATATTGAAGGTATGAAAATCAGGTGAAAAGCCATTTCTTCCCATTTCATCAAGCAATCTGTGAAATTGATCCAGTTTTCCCAGCCTGTACTTTGCACATAGGAGGATATTATAAGTTAGCATATCAGGTGTATGGCCTTCATCCAACATCTGCTGATACACCCACTCAATCAACCTGTACTGTTTCACAGTCAAAAGGGAATGTAAAATTGCATTAAATGAATGCTTGAACGGCCTATAATTAAATACCTTTGCCTTAATAAACTTTTCGACTACTTTTCTAGCTAATCCTGCCTCACCACAAGTACATATCAATATGTTTAAAGTCCGAGCAGTAACTGAGTAACCTTTCTCAATCATCTCATCAACTAATCTCCACATGGCTTTGAATTCCTCTGACTCTGCAAAAATCTTCATGATTAAATGGTATGAATTTGCTGTGTGCTTGTAGTTCTCATGCTGACCTGACCATGAAAAGAACTTGTACCCCATCTTGGCACACCTACTCTTATCTGCATAGTTTAAGGTTTTCAGTATCCCTACAAGAACCTCCCTCACTAGAAGGCCAGAAAGCCTAACTTGCAAATCATCTAAAGCTGTTTTTGTATCAAACCCTGGACCATCTTGATAAAGAACTTCAAGAATCTGCCGAGCATCACTTTTTGCATCATTAATGAAATTGCTCCTGGTGGAAAATTCCTGTTGGGAATTTCCTGGTTGGTTGGAACTGGAGAACGAAGAAAGCATGACGAAATTTGATGGTTGCCATTTAGGGCGGAGCCAAAGAATTCTGATGTTTGACGCCATGAGCAAGCTCTGACGTTTAGAGGCCAAACCCTGTGATTTCTCTTACTACTGAGGCTTATCTTTTGTAGATGGCAATAGTGTGATTACCCAGATGCTCAATTACCAAACAGTTCATTTAGTTGTATTTGCATCAGCTACACAATAACTATCTCCTCGTGTTTCTTCCCCTTGCCGGCTTGCCCTGAATACGTAGATTACATCCACAAAGCATAAATATTAAAACTTCAATTTCATGTAAAAACAATTAGAAGGTAAAAAACAAAAGAGCACATCCTAAATTATGTAGAATGCCTAATGGCCTAAACTTTTTCTCTAAATGTATACAAAATGGCTTTTTTTTTCCTGAAAGATACTTGTAGATTGTGAAGGATCAACAAGAACGACAACAACTTGATTTCAATCTGTGAGGAAGATGTGTTAAACTCATTTTCTTTCTGATGGTAGGCTGCTCATGAGATCTATTCTAATGATATTGATTCATTTGAATATATATTACTTTGTTTATTTTTGGCAGAAACTAAACATATTCATATTAAATAGATGGTAGAAAGTGAAATCCTACTTATGGCGGAAACATATATATCACTTTCTGAATGGTAGGCTGCTCATTTTGTTTATTTGTGACAGGATGATAAATATATTCAGACTGAGACGGTGAGACCTAATAGAGTTTTTAGAGTAGCCCAGAAGCAAACAGTTAGCCAACGACTAGAAAATGAAACCAAATGACAAGAGACAAAACAAAGCCAAAAAAGCTACTCAGCCCATTACATCATCTAGTCATAATATCAAACATTCATTCATTATTAGCAAACTACTTCAAGGCAATGATGCTTTGAAAGAGCATAATAACGAAAATGAGTCCAAAGCAGACAACACCAGTAGTCGGTCACTCTTGTCACTCCATCATCACATCACAGTGCAGTCGTGCACATATTCATATTAAATAGACCGCAGAAACTAAAATCATAAAAAAATTAAATAAAAATATAACAAGAAATCGTGTATATGAGAATAGGTTTTTACAAAATGAGTCTTCACGAAGAAATGCTGAGTTGCAATCTATTCAATTCTAGTGCCATTGAGTTTAACACACCTGGAATCTGGATACCTAGAGGGTTTCTGGCTTTCTAATGCTCACTCGGTGATTGAGAAACATAGAGGGTAAGAACCAGACTGAGCGAGTGTCGAGACCAATACTCACATTATAGGCTTTAAGCCTTTTTTAAAACCTACATATTTAAAAAAAAAAAAAAAAACAAAAAAACAACAACCTAATACTACAACAATAGAACTATTACATAACAGTCCAATACTCCAATACAAAACTAGCACATAACCACAAATTCGTAAGTCCAAAATGCAAAAACCTAACGACACAAGTTCAATACAATGTCCAGAATCACATGAAAAACCAACCGATAACCACAAATCCATAAGTCCAAAATATAAAAATCTAAGTTTCTGTATAGGCGTATAGCAGTATACATACTGGTTACAGTAGAATAAATACTAAACTAAAATAAGGAATCCTTAATTAGCCAATCAGTATTAAAGCAAAAACATAGAAAAGCTTCAAAGCAAGGTTATTTTCCTCAACATAATCAAAACTTGAAATTAGCACAAAAACTCTAGAGATTTTCCATCTCTTGTATGCAAAAAGTAATTTTCAAACCTGTTAATTTTTTAAAATTCACTACATCTTGATAAATCTTCTGCCAAAAACAAAAACTCATGTACTTAAGTCATTATCTTCTACATTAAACCATTAGCCTACACTCGAGTTTTTTGCACTCTTTATCTCCTAGGGTCAATAAAGTGAGCCTTTGTAAAAAGAACAACAATCATATTGATAGCTGCACTTGAAATAAAACTACCATTTTTACTGAACCATATAGTCTACTTTAAAAACTTGAAACACTTCAACTTTTTGAGTCCCCAAAACTAAATACATATTAGCAAACAATCAGTGAAGATTGTTGAATATTCCGCACATATATATCACTGTCTTGAAAGGTAATAGAAGTATACTCAGTACAAATTACAGGAAAGATCAAAAGAGAGCTATTAAAATCAGCAGAAAGCAACAAAAATGTGAGGATCAGAGCAAACATACTTGAAATGGAATTCTGGATGATAATTAAAGAAACTAAAATTCAAAACAAAGTAATCAACAAAGAGTGAAGATTACGGTATGAACGGTTGATTTCTTGCAATACATAGCAATAGATATCACTGATCACATAAACAATCATACAAAACTGCATATATTCATACAGCGAGGATACGTATAAACAAGTAGAACTTACAGAAGAGAGTGTGATATTATAGTTTGCGATTCTGAATTGTTTGGTTGTATAGTGCATCGGGGAAGAAGAGAGTGAGGGGAGAAGGCAGTGACTGTTGGAAACAACCAACACACGATGCCTGGACTCCTGGGAATTTGATTATCTTTCGCCCACCAAATCTTCTCACCAGTAGGGGGTTTTCTATGGGATAACCTTTCACCACAAAATAATACTAAAAAAAATTAAAATTGAGAGAAGGTAATTGTAATATTCATGTGAGTGAGAGAGAGATAGAATACCAGTTTCCGGTCGACCGCACGTCGTCACTCCATCGCCGGTCCGCCGCAACTACGCATGAGCTTTGGGAGAGAGTCGCCGTCTCGCCATTGTTGGGTTTATTTTGTAAATATATAAATATATTAGGTAAAATATATAATAATTTAATACTATATTAGTAATATTATTCACCACTCCAAAACTTTTACCTCTTATTCTTAATATCCTTCATTATCATTCTTTCATTTGATGATTTAGTATTTGATCAGAATGTCTTTGAATTAAAAAATTGATTTTTATTTTTGAAAGATAATGTGATGCATTCTGATCATGTTTATAAAAAAATTGATTGAAAAAATCAAATGTGATAACAAAATGAAAGTCACGCATCAAATGTGACGAAAATAAATTTATGTGACATAATAATCGTGAGACCAAAAATGAAAATAACTTTAGTATAATTGTATTGAGCTCAAAGTATAAATATCAATGCAATTAAATGAATTAAAATAAATTTTGGTTATTAACACAGAAAATGCTTGGTATATTCTTAAATAATATTGTTTTTAACACCAAATTATACATTTTTTTTACGCACAAGTAGCCCAATCCTATCCCATAACAGGGCGTTTGGTTGGAGGGGGGAATTATATGGGAAAGGAATTGTAATTCCATGGGAGTTGAATTACTGGGAATAAAGTGGGAATTTAAATTCCAGTGTTTGGTTGACAGGAATAGAATTACTGGGAATTTCAATTCCAATGTTTGGTATACATGGGAATTGAAAGGCAATAAGTAGTATAAAGTCAAAAATGTCAATTATTGTTGTTAGACATTAATTTTATGTTAAAAAAGGAAGGGGTAATTTTGACTCATCACTATCTTTTTTTCCCAGGAATTAAAATACCAGGGGGGACATGGGATTTTAATTCCAACCAAACTACGGAATTTAATGGTCTTTGGAATTAGGTGGGAATTAAGTGGGAAAGGAATTTAAAATCCCTCCAACCAAACGCCCTGTAAGTTGTTATACCATGGACTAGGGTCCACCTTGCAAAGTGGACCCAAGTTGAAAATACACAATTTATATACTTAACTAGTAATTCACCCGCGCGATGCACGGGGAAAATTTTATGTTATTATAAATATAAATAAATAAATAATAGAAAAAATAAAAATATTTTAAATTGTTTAATATAATAATATTTTTGAGCTTCCATTGGTCAAGTATTTATTATTTTTATAGAATACAAAATTATAATTAAAATTTTGTATGGTTAATATAATCTCTAATTATGTACATATTCAAATAAACTTATAGAGAGAATTTACATAATTACATTGATTTATTCTTAATTGTATTTCATCTATATTATAATTTTCACAATACGAATAATAACTAAGATAATTACATTTAGAAAGCAAATTTCAAATTTTGTATGAATAAATTTAAACTCTAATTGAATACATTTTTTTATATGATTATATAATATATTCTTTATGCACATGGCATTCCATAAACTCAAATGTCATTTTATAAGTCCAGGACCACTTTTTGTGGAGATAATTCAAATGTATTTTTTTTTCTTTTAAAAATCTTAATTTTAGACATCCAGAAAAACATTAAAGACCCATACGATATATATATTTATATATATTTAAAATTTTATTTATGGCTTAAATGATTTTTTTTTTAAGGAATAAGGGTCAAATAGGCCATCGAACTGCACACAATAATGCAATTAGGCCACTGAACTAAAAAAAAAACAACAATTAGGTCACTAAACTAAGCAATTTCATTCAATTATTCTAATTTACAAGTTTTGTAGGTTACTAACAGGTCACCCAAACAATTTAAAATGTTTTTTAAAAAATTATTATTTAAAAAATAATAAATTAAAATTAAAATTAAAAAAAAAAAAAATATTAACCGTCTCCGCCGAAGACGAGTTTCTTGTCTCCGGCCATGGACGAAGAAAGTTTCTTCGTCTCCATGGCCGGAGACGAAGAGACTCTCCGTCTCCGGCCATGGAGACGAAGAGTTTCTTCGTCTCCATTGCCGGAGACGAAGAAAGTTTCTTCGTCTCCATTGCCGGAGACGAGTTTTTTTTTTTTCAATTTATTATTTTTAAATAATATTTTTTAAAAAAATATTTTAAATTGTTCGGGTGACCTTTTAGTAACCTACAAAACCTGTAAATTAGAATAATTGAATGAAATTGCTTAGTTTAGTGGCCTAATTGTTGTTTTTTTTGGTTCAGTGGCCTAATTGCATTATTGGGTGCAGTTCAATGGCCTATTTGACCCTTATTCCTTTTTTTAATTATGAAGTCCAATAATTGACCCACGACCCGCAACATTTGATTTCTTCATCCCTTCTCGCTTCTGCCATTTCTTTGAAGCATTTGAGATGGAGAAAAATTATATGTAGAGACTTGCATTAATTGCACTGTTTCAGATATTGAACATGCTTTCATCGAAAATTTAATTAATATTGTAATCACAAGAACCACCATAAATAACAAAAGCATATCAAATAGACTTTCATTGTAAAGCCAGAGATTTAACTAATATTGCATCGTTTCATATTTTCTATTAATCGGGAATCGGAATCCTTAATCCTAATATCATAACATTTAATAACTCCATTAATTCAATAAATGTAATCCTTTGTTATGGGCGAGAAAAAAAAAATAACTATTTTATTTTTCAAATGTTGTGCTTTTTTTTTTTTTTTTTTTTTTTTAGTAAAAGATGTTGTGGCTATTTTATATTTATAGCTAGTAATAATAATAATGTTGGTAATTAATTATAACATTAATTATTTCCCAACCATATAGCTTTATTATATGTAAGATGTTAATAATTTACCTTTTACAAATTGTGAACATTTAGGTCTTCTCCAAGGGAGCGACATTTGTGACACCAAACGCCAAAATGGCGCTGATTTGTGCACACTGGCATTTGGGTTTGAGCATTTGTAGGAACGATATGGTAATTTTGAAAATTAAATGTAATAGTTGTTATATGTTATATTATTATGGAATAAAAATATTAGTTGCATTACAATTAAATTTTATATTAAAAAATTAAAGTTTTAATTTATAAGAAAACAAATTATTTAAGTGTAGAAATAGAATTTGGTGTAATGGGTTGGAGATGAATAAAATTTGGTGTAAGAATATTTTAAAAATATCTTTTTTGATGTAAAATTTGGTGTAATAGGTTGAAAATGATCTTAATATGTAAATTGTAAACATTTAATATGTAATTTGTGTTCTTTGAGTCAGGGTATCTTGCAAGATAAACCCATGCCCATAGAATAATTTGTCTATCCCCATATCCAATTGGTGTGAACTCCCCATCATGTTGGGTGAAGAGAGTTTTAAATACAATTAATCATTCGCTAGATTATTGCCATATGAACAATATTGCTTCAATCACAAAATCTTATTGTGGGGAAAAAGAAAAAAGAAAAAATTACTATATTAGCAGTTTTTTCCAGACCAATTAACGTTTGTTTAGGGAGAATATTTAGGAGTTGATACATTGTAATCGGCAGTTGAACAAGAATTAGGAAAGTGTCTTGATGTTTTCCCAATTTTGGCAATACACGATTACACGTCACAAATTACTAAAATACCCCCGTGTCTGATGTCCTAGATTTCATCCTGGTTCAGCGCTTCAGAGTTCAAAACCCTTGGCCATTTTCGTCCGAAAACCCAGCAAAAAGATTCAGGTGCTCGATCATGGCGTCTAGCAGTAAAGTCAGCCTTCAAGCGAGCAATCAATTGTTTGATTCGTAAGCTTTAAGGAATCTTTGTGATGATTCGCCTTAACATCTTACCGAACATTCCGCCTCTTCTTCAAACCCGTTTCGCCTCTGAATCTTAACGCTCCAGTGAATCAATCCCCCCTTCTCCTCTCATTTGATTTCGAACTGTGTTGTTGGAAGAGGAGGAGGAAATGATGAAGCTGGGCCGGAGGAGCAACAGTTTCCGGGGAGCGTTGTCGTTGGAATCGTCTCCCGACGGGAAATCGCCGGCGACGGTGGTGTGGCTTGTGCTTCACGCTCTCTGCTGTCTGATTAGTCTGGTACTCGGCTTCAGATTCTCCCGCTCCGTCTTCTTCCTTTTCCTATCCAACTCCTCCTCCACCGCCTCTAATACCCTGTACTCTCTCCCGGCCCTCTCCGTTCTAGAAGCTCTGGACCGCGGCGCTCCGGCGAACGCGACGGTTTCGAGCAGCCGCGTGGTGGTTGGGCGGCACGGGATCTTGATACGCCCCTGGCCGCACCCCAATTCGACGGAGGTGATTCAGGCTCACAAGATCATCGAGATCGTTCAGAGGGAACAGAGGTTTCAATATGGCGTCAAGAGTCCTAAGACTGTGATTGCTATAACTCCCACCTATGTTCGAACCTTCCAGACTTTGCACCTCACCGGAGTGATGCATTCTCTGATGAACGTTCCGTACAATGTAATCTGGATTGTCGTGGAAGCCGGCGGAACCACAAACGAGACCGCCTCGTTGGTAACCAAGTCGGGGCTCCGGACAATCCACATCGGATTCCCCGAGAAAATGCCGATTCTATGGAAGCATCGCCACAAACTGGAGTCCAAAATGCGAGTTCATGCTTTGAGGTATTTCAAAATTTGAAATTGGATTTGATAGTTGATAGAATAGGTGTTGTTTGTTTTGAATTTTGAATTTTGAACTGTGAATTGTGAGCAGACATGTAAGAGATGAAAACCTAGATGGGATAGTGATGTTTGTGGATGATAGTAATATGCACAGTCTGGAGTTATTCGACGAGATCCAAAAGGCGAAATGGATCGCCGCAATCTCTGTTGCCATTCTTGCTCATTCCGGGGGTTCCCAGGAAAACCATATGCAACTGCCCGTTCAAGGTCCGGCTTGCAATTCGTCGAACAATCTAATAGGTTGGCATAGCTTTGATCCGTCCCGCTACGGGGAGAAGAGTGCGAGGTACATTGGAGACAAGGCAGTCGTGCTGCCCGGGAAGTTCGAATGGGCTGGGTTCGTGTTGAATTCTAGGTTAGTTTGGAAAGATGCTGAAGACAAGCCGGAATGGGCTAAGGATTTGGGTAGAATAGTGGAGGCTGGAGAAGATGTTGACAGCCCAATGTCTTTGCTGAAGGATTCTTCGGTCGTGGAACCTCTAGGAAATTGCGGGCGCAAGGTTATGCTTTGGTGGCTACGAGTCGAGGCAAGGGCAGACAGTAAATTCCCCGCCAGGTTAGTTTCTACTTAGATTACTATACTACTTTACTAGGTTGTTTCATGAATCATGACACTACTTTTGTTTCCCCTTAATTTTTATCAAGTGATTGTCTTCTCTAGTATTGCTCTCCATAAGTGTATATATTTCATAATACGGGGCAACCCCAACCAGTTGATTTGGTAACTACTAGGTTACAAGTTCAACTCCAGCCTATTGGTCTTCTTGGTTTGAGTCGGTTGAACATTTTGATATTGGTTGTTTTCGTACTCTTTTGATTGTCGTTAAAATATTCTATTTTATGCAGATGGATAATCGACCCACGGTTGGATGTTACTATCCGAGCAAAACGCACTCCATGGCCCGATGCTCCTCCTGAACTGCCTACCGCTGAAAAGTTAATCCAAGAGAGCACCGAGAAACGCACTACAAAGCCACGATCTAGAAGACGCAGTTCCAGGAAGAGAAAGCATGTGGCAAGGAACATTGATATACAAGCCTCGTCTACTAGGCGTTCTGGGGAGAATTAGTTATAAGTTGATATACGAACTATACAAGGCTCGTTTAGTAGGGCGTTCTGGGGAGGGAGGAGAAGTAGCCAACGACATTTGGAGAGTTATCCATGAAGTCAGCTCTTATATAGCAGTTGATACAACATACCAAACTTTTTTTTTTTTTTTTTTTTCAGTGTTGATTTCATTCTTTCTTTATGCCCCTTTTGACTTCTCCTCTCTTCTCTTTTTGATTTGAGTGATTAGAGTTGCGATCCCTCAGAAAGGAACTCAGCTGAGCTGAAATCTTCCCTTCTTCCATTATACACATGATTCCATGAGCTCAAGCTCGAATACGTTCTTGCTTAATTTTCCTTTTTTTGAATATTATATATTGTGAATATAAATTTATAAACTTCCCTTTCCAATTGTTTTTTTTTTCTCCACAAAATGTGATGTAAAGTTGTAATCTTTGTTGCAGTCACATAACTGGCATGAGTCTGAAGTCTGAACTCAGATCAATGAAATGGTTGTCTACTTGCATCCCTGTGGCCTGGCTTTACCAGTTGAAGTATGGTACACCAGCCAGGGTATTAAGTAAGATTCTAATGTTAAGTATGTTGGGTACAATGCATTTTGAATTTTTGATCTCTTCATTGTTCTTGAAATTTGGTTCATATCCTTCAATTTGAACAAGTTGGTCCATTGATTGTGCATAGTGTTGTTAATTCAATCTCTCACGATGAATTTGACTACTAATTTTGTTTCGTCAGGCGATGAGGTGTACTGAGCAGACCCTCTAATTGTAAGGCAAACCTTTAAACTCGTATCATACTCGGATTGGTTCGATTAAAGAGCAAAAATGCTGGTTAGATTGATTTTTCCATATGAGAAGGGGTTCAAACTCCCGACCTCTCTTAAGGGATGAGAGTGTACAGTCACTCACGCCAACCAAACTGGTTGAATTTGACTAAGACTTGAGAGTATTATGTCGTAAGAGACTCTATTTGAAAGTAAAAGTTATACGTAAGTGTCAAAGAAGAGCTCCCCACCCCAAAAACGATGATCTATTGAGTGGAACATGATTCTTATACATGGATGATTACTAAGTTTGATTTTTGTCAACACTCTTTCGGTTGAGTTTATCACGTCGAGTCTTTTTTAGTGCAGATAAATAAGAGCATGATTTATCAAATGTACACTTTCGAGTAGTGATTATAGATCATGGAACTATAATATTAAAAAAAGTTATAATTATTAAGTTGACTATTTACATTTAAATTTATTAATTCGTTGAAATAAAAAACCGCGAACAAAACGTAATCACACTTAAAAAACTTGTGCGTGTAGAGTACTTGTAATTTTATGCACACGGAATATTTTGGTGCACCTTAATAGGCGGGTCAACGATGGTTGGTGCAAGACTGAAGTTTCGGCTTGTATTAATCAATATAATTTAATATTATATGCTATTAATACGTTTATATTTATTAATTACTATATTTACTTGTCATATTTTATTATTTTTGTGCACCTTAATAGGTGGGTCAACGATGAATGTCACCCAATTAATCAACACGATACTCAAATAATGAAACTTGAAATCTTGTGATTATCAAAATAATTGTTTCACTAGTTCAGTTGTGGTTGCCCTCGACATTTATATTATTATTATATTTGTAACTCTTACATCCTATTCATTAAATTAAACATTCAATATTAAAATATAATTTATAGTCTATCGTGAAGCAAATATATTATTAATTACGTGGAAAATAATATAGATAAAATATAAATGTACAATCTTATTACTCCGTATTAGTTTAAGGCAGAATGGTCAAATATGCATATCTACTACTCACAAGTGCTCAATTGACCCCTTGATTTAAAATAAGAGCAAATTTGATACATAAACTTCTTAAAATTCTTGCATTTACCATTTTTACCAGGTTCCATATAGTTCTGATGGCATGGCGTCCAGTTAAAATGGTAAATGCAAGAATTTTAAGAAACTTATGTATCAATTTAGCTCTTATATTAGATCAATGGGTTAATTGAACACTAGTGAAGAATAGATGAATATATTTATTTTAGTTTAATCTTTTAATTGAGACGCGATACATCTTTTTATTAATTAGACAATTTGATAAATGTATAATATTTAAATACCATTTTGGAAATTCTAAGTTTTTTGTGTTTTTTGTGTTTTTTTTTTTTTTTTGAAAGTGGAAATTTTAAGTTTTGATCATGGTTATGATGAAAATAGAAAGTATGATAATACCAAGTGCTGAAGCTATGTGATAAGGATAGGGGAATGTGAAACTGTGAAAGCAATGGACATCGGACATCATTTCATTTCCCACGTTTGATTAACTTAGAAGGGTCCATTGACAGGTAGATTATTGGATTAGATCAAGTTTCAACGTCAATACATCATCAATCGTTATAAAGTGGACCCTGATCCTAAACAACGTAATTTTGAATTTTAATTTTGACAACAATTGTTTATTTTTCAATTCACGTCACGGATTTTTTTTTCCTGTAAAGCATGTGTATGTGTCTTGTGTTATGTGTTTCTGTATCTTATGTGATGCAATTTTGTACCTTAAGCGTATGGATTTTGCATATGAAATAAAGTAATATAACATGCGCTTTTGTATATTTCGCTATGCATTTTTATGTCTTGTGCTATGCGTTTTTATGTCATGCGTTATGCGTTTTTATGTCTTATGTTATACAATTCTGATATGTACCTTAGAAATATTGATTATGTACTTCAACTAAAATAAATATAAAACATGTGTATGTGTCTTGTGTTATGCGTTTCTGTGTTTCATGTGTTGCAATTCTATACCTTAAACGTATGAATTCTGTACCTGAAATATATTAGTAGTTATGTAACACACAACATATTGTGTATTTTATTTTATGAATTTATATCTTGTATTATAAAATTATGTGCCTATAGAACCTATATTATCTACATAAATCACATTTGAGAATAAGGCTGTCCTTATCCCTGCAAATATTTCCCACTCTCAAAAATGAGTCCCACTTCCACATCATCCCATTTGCAAATCATCTACTATTCACACCACATCTCTGCAAATCTAATCTATTTTGAAAAGTGGACCCCAAACAATAAAATAAATAAAGAAAACAAACAAAAAGTACATATATAAAATAAAATTTTTTTTTTTTTTAAAAAAAGGTATAAAGCTGCTGCTGCTGCTGCTGTGGCAGCAGCTTTGTACGATGCAAATGGTTTGCCAATTTGCATTACTTGCAAATTGGCAATCCAAGTAAGCAATAAAAATAAAATATAAATAGCATATTATTCCACCTCATTTTACCACATCACTTTGTCAATGGGTTCTTTGCAGGGATGTGGTTAGCCTAAGTAAATATATAAAATGTGTATGTGTCTTGTGTTGTGAGTTTTGGTGTCTCTTGTTATGAAATTATGTACCTTAAGAATATTGATTCTATACTTGGAATAAATTAAAATTTGTATTGAAACATGAGAAACGGATAACTACAGAATCTATTAAAGCTTAAATATAAAAACACCGTCATTTTGATCAAGGGTCCACAATGTCATATGGACCCTAATCCACGATATAAATTGTCATACACCATTCACTAATGTCATTTCTTGTAATAGAGTCCAACAATAAATTCCATTTAAGATAATTAAAATTATTTTGACTAACAAACGAGGAACTTTTTTTTGAATACTACTAACTCTATTAGAATGTAGTATTTGTTCATAATTATTTTCTCAACCTATTGAAACACAAAGAGCCAATATCGTCTCCATTGAGACTCGATCCCACAACCTCCCTTATAAGGGAGCAACTTGAAATGAAAAAAAAAAAAAAAAAAAGTTTTTCCTTGAATATTTGAAATCTTATTTCTCAAATAAGAATACTTCACTTCTAAATTTATTTCTTGCATCATCAAAAACAATACTTCTAGTTCGATAAGAAATAAAATTAAAATGGAAAATATAAAAGCCATTCAAATGTATGCAACCGCCTTAACGGAAGGGAATAAAGCCTATCGGCCTTCATAAAATTTCGACTTCACTGGGGATCGAACCCAGAATCTCTGGTTTCGTAGACCAGCGCCTTATCCATTGGGCCATGAAGTCCTTTGTGTTTATACATTTAGTAAATCAATAACTTACATACTTTCATGGTTTAGTGCTTTTAATGTTCTCCACTGAATAGTTTCATACTTTCATGCTTTCATATTGATTACATGGCAAGAGTTTTAGACTAAAACATTTTATCTAAGTAATTCTAATTGAAACCTTTGAAATTGAAAATAGTGATCTCGTTTGAATAGTTCCTTTTAAGAATAAGTTAATACGTTTTTATCGATACTTATCTCTTTTGCATTATTTGCAACATATAATATTTTGATACAAGGTTCAAGAGTTAAGTGACATGTGGGAAGAAAGAAATATATATGGAGTAAACAAAACTTTCTTAAAAATTCAAGGTAAACTTTTTAAATGAGTAAAATCAATTATCATCACATTTACATCATCCAAACTACCTCATGTCACAGCAAGTAGAGTCGGTGGTCAGTTAATTCATGGACACATTGAAAAGAGGAAGTCTTTATGGTGGCCCAAAGGTGCATTATGAACAATCATGGATATTCATAGTCAAATAATGAAGGTGAAACGGTCACACAATGGTCATTCATGAAAAATTAATGACATTTAATATGATGTCATGCTTAATATTGTTATGAAGATTAATATTCGGAGTAGTACATGTAGTCCTATTTCATACTTCATTTTTTACTTTCTATGATTTGGCATACTTTGATTGCTCAATTTTATAAGGGGATATTATATTTATCTATTCTTTTTTTCCTCCAATCAAATTTGAACACAAATGTGAGTAAAAGTTGAGAGTAAACTTTAGGAAGTACATGTTGTTCTAATCTTAAAAAAATCTATTAGAATTGTCCTAATCTGTTCCATCTTGTGAGTCCACTAGGCTAATTGATGTAAATGTTATCGCGAATCACCAGACGCATTATGGATCCTGGTCTATTAACCGTTAACATATTATACACCTATTATAATTTTGTTTTAAACTCATAGTATATAAACAATTAGTAAATAAACTAAAATTACATAATATACTAACATCGAGTATATGGTCCACTCCACAATAACTATTCCATGCATTTGTTGTTAGTGAAACATTATGCTCTAATGGTTAATTAGTGATAAGTAATCCAATGAATCATGTGGGTTAATCTTTCGAGTAACAGTTATGTCATGGACTCAGATCTACATTACAATATAATTTATATACTGAATTGTGGATATTCAGTATATAAATTATGTATTTTTAAATTTGAGTCCACATTGTTAGGTGGATCCTGCGGGTCCACATAATAATTTGCCTCATTCGAGCCACCTTTATACTTGGTCTACCGGCCCCACTAGGCCGATTGACCTATCCCAACAGTTACAATCATGAATCATGATGTACAACCAACAAGATTTGTGGCAACTGGCAAGGAACAATAATTTATTTATTTTTGAGAATGGAACAATAATTTATTAATCACTCCAAAACAAAGGTTTCCCACGCCCCCAACGTTGCTTGCTATTTGCAGCAAAAATGGTGGCAGTGTTCAACAAAGAACTCTTGAGTTGGTACCTTATCACCCTCAAACTCAACCAAACTTTGGATAATCGTCTCCAAAACGCTCAAACCCCCCACCCCCAATCCCCACAACTGCAGATTAACACTGAACAATCCGTAAAGATTGACTGCACAGACAGCTCAGTTAGTTTCCGAGAATCCGTGAAGATTGAGGAGGGTCCCACATCGCCGGGAACGGAATGGGCGATTAGCATCAAGGACAAGCTGGAGCAAGCGAAGCAAGACGACGATTCTGGGTCGTGGTCAAAGCTCTGTATCTATAGAGTCCCGTTGAGTTTAAGGAAAGACGACGACAAAGCTTACATTCCTCAGATTGTGTCGTTGGGGCCTTACCACCATGGAAAGCGGCGTCTGAAGAACATGGATCGTCACAAATGGCGGGCGGTTTATCATATCCTGAAGCGGACGAGCCAGGAGGTGGGTTTGTACCTGAACGCCATTAGAGAGGTGGAGGAGAAAGCTCGAGGGTGCTACGAGGGATCCTTAATCGCTCTGGGCAGTAATGAATTCGTGGAAATGATGGTTCTTGACGGGTGTTTCGTCCTCGAGCTCTTCCGCGGCGCCGCCGCCGGAGGGTTTAAGCAACTCGGGTATGCGAGGAACGACCCGGTTTTCGCGATGCGTGGGTCCATGCACTCGATCCAGAGGGATATGATAATGCTGGAGAATCAAATCCCATTTTTCATTCTTGAAATCCTCTACGAAATCCAGTCCGGGAATCCCGGGATTGTGGCGAAATTAGCGCTCAGATTCTTCGATCCACTCATGCCCTCTGATGAGCCCTTGACTAAACGCGATTTGAGCAAACTGGAGACCTCCATTGGAGCCAATACAAAAGCTTTTGACCCCTTCACCGATCTGGGTGGCCTCCATTGCCTCGACGTTTTCCGGCGAAGCCTTCTGAGAACAGGGCCAAAGCCCTCCCCGAGAATCTGGATCAAGAAATGGTCACATAGCAGCCGCGTGGCAGATAAAAGGAGACAACAATTGATTCACTGCGTTTCCGAGTTGAGGGAAGCTGGGATTAAGTTCAAGAAAAGGAAAACAGACAGATTCTGGGACATAAAATTCAAGAATGGGTACCTCAAGATTCCCAGGCTGTTAATCCATGATGGGACAAAATCCCTGTTCCTTAACCTCATCGCATTCGAGCAGTGCCATCTGGACTGCAGTAACGACATAACGTCCTACATTATCTTCATGGATAATCTGATAAATTCCCCGGCGGATGTGAGTTACCTCCATTACTTTGGGATAATCGAGCACTGGCTGGGGAGTGATGCGGAAGTGGCTGAGCTTTTCAATCGCCTGTGTCAAGAAGTGGTGTTCGACATCAATGACACTTATCTTTCCCGGCTGTCGGAGCAGATAAACCGGTATTATGATCACCGGTGGAATGCCTGGAGAGCGGCATTGAAGCACAAGTATTTCAATAATCCTTGGGCGACTATCTCCTTCTTTGCTGCTGTCATCTTGTTGATCATGACTTTTGCACAGACGTTTTATGGCGTGTATGGATACTACAATCCACGCTCTTGATTTCTGAAAATGGTGGCTTTTCTTCTGGAATGGGGTGCTTGATCATCTACTGGATTGGATTGCTTGAATTGTTTTGATTTTTTATTTGTTTGGATTTGGACATAAAAATATACCATCTTACAAAGGAAGCATAAGCTTTTTTTCTTTTTCTTTTTAGTAATGACGGAAACTTGCGATCACTAAGCAAGAGTGTGTATCACTAGAAGGCTAAACGAACATAGTGTTGTGCATAGCTAACCAAGGATTGCTCATAGCCACAAGAAGGTTAAACCAGCTTGGGGTTGTCTATAGCTGACCACAGGGAGGTTAAGCCACCTTGAGGTTGCTCATAGCTGACTACGGGTTGTCCTGATCACAAGGAGGTTAAACCAGCCTAGGGTTGATCATAACTGACCACGAGTTGTCTTGACCACAACGAGGTTAAACCAGCTTGGCAACCTAGGATTGTTCGTAGCTGGTAGATACAAATCAAGTTATTCTTAACTGATCGACTCATACTAAAAAGATTAATAAGTTGCTCTCGTTGGTTAAACCAGCCAAGGAGGTTAAACCACAAGTTGTCTTGACCACAAAGAGGTTAAACTAACCTAACAATCTAAAATTGTTCATAATTGACTGACACAAATCAATTTATTCATATATGACCGGCTCAAACTAAAAAGATTAATAAGTCACTTCCGTTGGGATTATGGAAAGCATAAGGTTTTGACTCATCCAATGGCAGTCCAAAGTAACCTACGACATTGTACGATCAGTGGTTTCTACATTCTGATCAATGAACTAACTGGATGCACTTATGTAGGTGGCAACAATTTTGAAATCAAAATCTTTAATGTCTCACAAAACTAGTCTGTGAATGTTTAATACAAGAAATTTCTACCATGTCACTGTAAACTAGAGTTCAATAAAATCCCATAATACAATGTATTGTTGGGTAAAATACAAAACTTACACTGACAAGCTCAACCAAAACTGGGGGAGATGAATCCTACATTGGAGTAGTTCAGTTAAGGAATGCAGTAAAAGGAATTTTAGTTAAGTCCCAATTTGAGGCTATGGAAGCACAGAATACTAACTGTTGTAAAGCCCTTAAGTTGCAGTCAGGGCTTCAATCCCTGTGAAACCGTGCATGGAAATGTGAATGGGCTAAAGTCCCTGTTTCCTCGTAAGCGCAACAACGATTTTATTTAAGTTGGCGATTTCTTGATCTCTTTGGCTTAGCTCTCGCTTCAGCCGTTCAATCTCCTTTAAGTTGGAGATTTCTTGATCTCTTTGGCTTAGTTCTCGCTTCAGCCGTTCAATCTCCTTCAAGTAGGTTTCAGACTGATCACTTGTGGCAGTAATATTGTTCTTCTCTAGCTCTTCGCCTTGATAATCTGTCCTGGATTTCTTGGATTCACCCAAGGGCTCCTCATCTTGAAGTGGCCGTTTAGTAGATGCATTGTTACTTTTACAAGAATCATCACGGGCCATCTTGCAAACACATAAACTCCCAGATACTCCAGTGTCAAGTTGAAATGATACGAGTTTCTGGGGCCGCCCAGATGTATCCTAGAAGAGAACATATTGACAACAGGGTTATTAGATATCAATCCTAATCTCTCGGATGCACAGATAAAATGCAGAAAACAAGACAGCTCTCAAAGTATGAGCTAAAGATGTTAAACAATGCATAGTCATATCCCCGTACAGAAAAGAGGGTAATGCAGGAAAGAACATAGCTAGTTGGCTACTACTATATCGTCCATTTCTCCCTCCTTGCTTCAAAGTCATTTTAAATAAAGTAATGGTTGTTATTGAGGAAAGAAAATCACTTTTGGTACTTGGGGAATTCACTTACTAAAAAAAAATCACCAAAATATACACACCTTTTCTAGGATACCTTCAATCTTTTCAAATGCCTCATTTGCCGCTTGCTGATTTTCAAAAATTGCAAATGCAGAATACCGATCTCCTCGAGGTTTTTTATTAGTCTGCAAACACAGTTTTTATTCTGAGAATAGGACGACTTTGAATTCACTACACAAGAGAGAGAGAGAGAGAGAGAGAGAGAGAGAGAAAGAGAGAGAGAGAGAGAGAGAGAGAGAGAGAGAGAGAGAGAGACTATATAATTATAAAACCCTCATGGGCTTGGAGGCTAGGGTTAACACAAATACAGATTGGAATGTCAATAGAAAACAAAAATTCATATCATAGTATATAATACTTCAGTATTAAATTGAAGAAATAGAACCCATGAATGGTGATAATACTGTAAAAATGATTGCATTGTGCAGCCTGGATAAATTAAACGGCAAAAGATGCTTCATAAAATGAACATATATCTCTTATTGATATTTAATTCAATAATCAAGCTAAGAGCAATATGTATCTCAATGTTAATCAGTATTAGCTAATTTATATAGACAATGAAATTTTGAATTTCATTATTTCAACATTGACAGGAAAGACATGCAGATCTGGAACTATGGTCACAACATGTGGAAATGAATATGAACACACTAATAGATATTGTCCTAACCTTAACTTCAACAGTGAACTCTCCAGAAATCACTTTATGTAAATCATCACTAGAAACAACCACTGGTACCCTGTGGACAAGAAGTTTTGCCATCTGTACCTCCTCTTGGACCTAAATTCAAGGAATGATGCAGTAGGTTAGAAGTACTTTGTTGGAAGGAAATGAGCAGAAATGGGTTGAAGCTACCTTTTCACGGACGAAAGGTACAACATCATCAACATCATGCTCAACTTTTTGAATAACAAGCTTCATTGCAGCACATGCATCATCCAAGCAATTATGTGGAGATCCCTTCTTCCGAAGTTCAAAACCTAACACAAACTGTTGAGAATTACTTTTTATGAGTTCATCGTCATAAAATTGCAGTGGTCATAACCCAACCCAACCCAACCTTATTTCTGTGTGCTTTTGACATTGTCTTAACATGTGCAAGTAGAATAGAGGAGTAGGGACAAATATAAAGTTTAATTTACAAGTTTTGGCACCAGAAGAAAGAATAAATACAAAATGACCAGATCTGCTGCACCAGGACTTACTTTACATAAGTTACTTAGCGAAGGTTTTCTGTTAGGAGGCTCATCCCGGTATTTGAAGACATAAGCCGTGTCAATGACTCTTGGATGATCTATCTGTAAAGCTGTAAAGTAATATGTTTATTTATAAGCTAAAATGTGGGTTGGATGAGTCCCCAAGGAGAACAAAACAGAATTTAAGAAATTAAGTGCACTGAATTATAATACTCAGTAGCAAAATAATAGTAAAACTTCTAGTACGGGTACAAGTGTTAGCCAGTATGCAGCAATATTAGGAATTAACACTTGGCATAGACCAAAACTTCTGTAAATAATTCAAAAATGGACACAATAAGATTTGACTAGTTGGCTTACCTCGAAGGTCATTGTATAAGCTGTGGCCAACTAATATCTTTCCGTGAGATAACAACTTCTTTAAAGATTTCTGTAGGAATGCAAAAAAAGTTTGAGTGATCTTTTGGCATAAATCTAGGACAGCCCAAATAACAGAGATTTACCTGTACATCAGCCAAGGAACAAGTAACTCCATCTAAATCTGTTGCAGTAATTCCTGTAATATCAGATCTGTAATCTGCAATTGCTTTACTGGGCTTTACAAATTCATCAAGTTTAACCTGAAGTATTCCAAACTCCACTGTGATTTAAGGTGATCCATGATGAAAAATATTATATAAAAGCAAAATCAAAATCTGTAAATCACCAGAAATACTCCTTGTTGTCAACTGGTTTAGGTAAATACTAAATAAACCTTACAGTTCTTATTAGAACTATACTGAAAAATACCTTTAAATTCCGATCAACAGCACAGACCCTGATTAAAGCTTCAGTGCCATCATGACAAAGAGCCATCTCACAGTCAACTGCAAGCATTTCAGTTGATTGCATAACCTTGGACTTTTTACTGCGTTTGGTATTTAGCCAGCCCTGCTCAATGACCCAAATTCAAATAAGGGTGAGAGAAGAAAAAATGTATTCTCAACAAAATAGTATACTTACAAAAGGAATGATTAACTAAAATGCAAGCTTAGAAAGACAACAAAGTATTCATGTATTGAGGCAATAACACAAGAGTTGCTTGCTCTTTTCGAATAATGATAGGAAAGGAGAAGTAGATAGACTTAACAAGTTTAATTAGATGAACCTCAGGATGCTACATTAGATTAATGAAAACCCAAGTAAACCTGAGGCAGGATGCATTTATAACTATGGTTACAAGTAGATGCTGAAACAAACATAATCATTGATTAGAAAAAGATATCACCTCCTCATGTGACGGGAAGGAATAATCAACTGGATATTGAGGGTTTTCAAGAGTTAAGCGAACTAGCCTCTGCACTACCACAGCAATTGAATTAGTATCCAAATTGTTCAACGATTACAAACCTTCTTGATCAAAACATATTAATTATTCCATATGCAAACTATACGGAGAAAATAGAACAAAGGAATAAAATGCCAAAATACTAAAAGTGGTCAAATAATCTGTGAACAAAACCAAGCAATCTATTTCCATGGTAATGAATGGTAGCAAGCTAGTAAATTGAACCAGTCCAGAAGTCACAACCTTAGAAAAATATATGCCCACATTTAATAATCATGGTAAAAGAAAAGGACTAATAATTATTAGCGGCTAGATCATACTTAGTTCACAGTTTCTGGTAAAATGTACCTAGTAGTTAGTTTAGCACCTACCTTATTTAAAGTGTTAACTTCCATCTACAGTGTTCCAGTAATATGTTCAGTGACCAATATAGTTCAAAAGAAAATGTGTGCATGTATTATATAATATAGACCTGTTCAGGGGATTCAGTGTCTGCTGAACTTTTTTGGAATTCAACCACAGCATCACGATTGAAATGACATTGTAATACCTTCTCAAATATCTGCATTGAGAAGGGAGTAAGGAGACTGCTTACTGCAATATTAATTACTAAAAACTTTAAAGGAAATAAGATACTGGAATAATGTGAATAAAAGTATCTTATCATCTGGCTCATTAAACAAATCATCTCTATCAGTTACCTTCAAATCCTCCTTTTGATTAAATGTTTTTAAAAATGCAGCTAAGACATCAGTAGACCTCTTGGCAGGGTCACTCAAGCTAGATCCAAACTTCTTGTCAAAAAATTTCAAAAAGTCCTTCCAGCCTCCTTTGCTACCTTCCATTCCACGTTTTTGGGCTAACTTCACAATTTCAACAAGTACCTTAACACCATAACAAGGAGCCAGTAGCCTTGAAGTCATCAGTTGTGAAGACATAATAATGGAGACTTACATATACTCAATTAATATAAAAATCCGTTCAGAATACAACCAATTTAGACTCTAAATAATAATCCAATGAAATTTAAATGAAATTAAAAGCATCGACACTCCACTAAGCCTACTCAGTACTCTGTGTATACAACTAGTTTATTTCTTTCTTTCAGAAGCACAGTTTGTATACTCAAATGCTAACTGATGCTACAAAGAAACTCTCAAGAAATCTATAACTTTGAAGAGGTAATCCAAAAAAAGTGTAATGTTAACAAGAAAAAAGATGGTATGTATTCTCAACCCACATGGCTGCTTAAAGATGCACCAAAATGAGAAATTAACTAAGAAAATTTCCATAGACATCAGAATCTAAAAGATGGTAATATAGAGTACTACTAAAAGCATTACTTCAGAATGTAATTTACAGAATAATCTCTGCTTATATGACACTTATTCTTGATGCAAGATTAGCATAGCTAATGAGCATGGAATAAAAGCACTGGAAAAAAAAAAAAAAAAAAAAAAAAAAAAAAAAACACTTACTCCTTGTTTCTCTTAAGACATCATGAAAACACCAAATTATTGGTAAAGATAACAAATTTAGGTCAATTAATGAAAAAATAAAAAGCTATTGCAGAAGGGGAAAACGAGAAAACAAAGAGAGCAAGAAAACCTCACATCTTTTTTCGCAGAGGCAATCATCTCATCCATTGCAGGAAAAAGTGTTGTAGAATCGAACTTCTGAATTGTGCCCAGAGTGAGTTTGTGGGCAATGTTTAGGAGTCTGCAGTTGGAAGAAGCCAAGTACAATTGTCAATTAGGGTTCCATAAGCCCTAGCTGAGGTGGACAAACGGCATTTGGTTATGGTTATGGGTGGAAATGGGGCAGGTGCGGGGAGATATTACTCATCCAGCCATTCCTGCCCCTGAAACCCCACCCCATTCCCCATCATCCCCACCCGGGGAATGAATTCCTTCCCATCCCTGTCCCCGATCAACTCCCTAGTCAGATGTATGCCATTCTTAATGTTAAAGTTCTTAACCTTAAAATGCATAAATCTTCATCAATTTCTCAAGGACAACAAAAATACCAAACTGCCAAAACTTTCCATCATATCAATCAAAAATTAAAAATTTAATCTCTATACTTAATTTTTCTGAATGAAATAATAATAATAATAATAATAATAATAATAATAATAATAATAATAATAATAATAATAATAATAATAATAATAATAATAATGCATAAAGTTTTTTTTTTCTTTCCTCATCCTTTCAATTCTCACGGGGTATATTTTCTTTCCTCATCCTCTTCAAGTATACAGCACATATCATTTGATTCGGCTACAAAATTCATACGGTGTAATGGAGTATATAACTATATACCACAAAATTCATACGGACTAATGGAGTATATAACTATATACCACAAAATTCATACGAAGCATTCAACTATTCATTACCTTCCTGCCGGACGGGGAGGTCAAGACGAGGCTTGCACCTGGGGGACAGCGGCTGGCGAGGCAGAACTCTGGCGGACGGAGGTGAGGGAACTGATTGTCTGCTTACGGAGGTCGGAGGCTGCGAATTGGCGTCTCGCCGCCTTTGGCTGGCGGCCGGCGGTCCTGGTGGATGGCGAGGCTGAGGCAGTCAGGCAGAAAGCATTTTGAGATTTCAGAATAGGGTTTAGGGTTCTGCTTGTGAGCTTGTCTTCTCAGGGTTTACGGGTTTTGGACTTTTGTCCTTTAGGGACTTTAGGTGTTTAGCAAATTAGGGATTAGGTTTTTTTTTTTTTTTTTTTTAAAAATTAAGATTAAATAAGCCCTCAAATGAATTGATGGTATCGCAATTGAACTATCAAATAAATCATTAAGGGTGGGTTTGGAAATAGAACAATATTTTCTGAACAATGATTTTTAAAAAAATAATTAATTTCTAAAAAATTCGGAGTAGTTTATTTTTGTGTTTAATTCAAATTTTAAAAATAGTCTCTCTTCTTTTTTTTTTTTGATAAAAGTTAAAATGTCTTATTTGGCTCATTTTAAAAATATACGCATAAATCCATTACAAATTTATTTCTTATAAAATATAAATTATTTTAATAATTATTATTATTATTATTATCATTATTTATAATTTAATATAAAAGTTTAAATTAAAATATATACTAGTTATAGGGTTACTAATTAGAAATTAGAAATATAAATAAATTAAAACATTTGAGGCGGTGAACATGTTTTTAGGGAGTAGAATAAAGTGGTTGATATTCTTGTCAATTGTTCACTCACTCATGGTAGAGGTCTAAAAGTCCTTATGTCACCCCACCTTAATCCCAAATGACGATTTGGTAAAATTAGTGTGGAGCAAAATACATAAGAAGAGTTCCCGCCTCAAAAGATGGGACAGTCGCGCACTCTAATTTTCTTGGGTTTCCCCCTCATAGCTTATAATAATAAAAAATGTAAATAAATAATATTTAATTTATATCATATTATAAAAAAAAATACATAAATTGTCAAGCACATTGTGCTCAGATGACACCCGGGTTGGATTCTTATATAGGAGATTGTGAGTTCGAGCCTTAGTGTAGGTGTTATTGACTCTTTGTATTTCTTCAATATATTGAGAAAGTAGCTATTCAAAGAGTCACTAGCATACAAAAATTGATAAGTATATAATTTTTCTTTTGGTGATGTGAGCCAGATTAGGCCACAATTTTTATTAATTGGCTCGAATTAGTTAAACTCCATTAATAAATGTAATAATCTTGAACTAAATACATTCAAGGAAAAAAAAAAAACTCTTTTTAAATTTTTTGCATTGTGAGTCGGGGCAATGATTTCTTTTGTTTGGTTTCGTTTAATCAAATTCATATTTTAATCCGCAATTGATAAATATAATAAGTCTAAATTAACGTTTTTATTGTTTTGCTCAATTCGACTAGATTTATATTTTAATTAAACTAATCCAGTCCAATAATTCAAATAATAACTAGACAGATGGTTGGCTGCCAATTTAACACCACTCAGAAAGAGAGAACTAAATATCATGAGAATCCAGAAAAGTCTTTAGAGTAAAAATCTTGAAAAAACATTTTCTGTCAAAATATGTCATTTGTTCTATGATCATAATGAGTATATTTCGTTGATAATCAAACATTAAAAAAAAAAAAACAAAAAAAAACAACCTCGAAAGTCATTTTTCAAGTTTCCAAATGACCCTTAAAAAAATCAATTGGTTATTATAACTTAAGCTTTTGGTTTATGGTGAGCAGACACCAATGGATCAATGGTTATATTATGGATTAAGGTCCACCATGGTTCATATTTTATACATGAAATTAGCATATTATATACATTTCGTTTATTTGTACATAATATCTTATCCGCATGTATACCAGGTCCACATGCCCTATCACATGATATAATTTACACAATAGTTAAGTCATGAACCAAGATGCATGTAGCAATATGCACCCAACATGTACCTATTTTTTCTCTGCTTCTCCATATACTAATTGACGAATCATTGCAATGCATTTATGTAATGGGGAAAAACACATTTCATTTTATACTGCACTTGTTTCCCATCTTGATTAATGCATTTGGTATTTTTCTTCCAAAAAAAATAAGTCTAGTTGACCTATAGATGCTTCTTTGAAGAGCGTTAGGTCAACCACAAACAAGATGTGCTATAAACCCATACAGGGCAGGGGGTCGGAATCGTGACAATTTTATAACGTGATGAAGCTGAGTATGATTTTATTTTTTGGAATCGTCATTTACATTTTACACAGATCTACAATTGAGGCCCGTACAGGACAACTCAGTTAGTCACAGAGGTAAAACAGATCTACAATTGAGATATCTAAAAGCTGCGGGGCCACTGAAATGCCAACAGGAAATTGGTAGTTTACATGACATTTCAGGCTGAACCTTCCTCTCTTCTGCCTATATTTTCTCCTCATAATGTGCTCCACAGTCTTGTTGAACTGGTCAGCCGTTGATCTATCAATCCCAGGGGGATTTCCTCAACGCCCAGGGAAATCTACATTGACCAAATCAAACCCAATAGTTCCAATCACTTTCTCTGCATATTCAAACCATAGAGCCTAAGAACATACCAACAATTTGACATTGTTCACCCAGTGTTCCCACAGCATGGATGATATTCAACACAGAATGCGTGGAACGATTCAACCCTTATAGGTCTGTTCCAGCCGAGCCCCTGCCAAGAAAGATGATCATACACAAAGAAAAACACTAAACACACACATAACTGTGAGTAAGACACCAAAAAAGGAGCATTAAGGTAATAATCATCATAATATAATGTGCGGATTGAGAATGTTACATAAATGGAAGATAGGTGTGATATATGATGTTTGAACTTGACTCACTTTAAATGGAACGGCTAAAAAATACAGTTTCTTGGGACTTGAATGAACAAATAAGAGACTTGAACTCATTACACTCAATGCATTAACAAAGTTTTTACTGTATTCTAACAGTTGTTCATACAGCTCATTGGCTGTCATTGAAGCTAGCATTACCATTTGACCACCTTCTAAATGTGCAAGGCAAAAGGGTTCTTCCTACAAAAAATCCAAACCTTGACTTAGGTGCCGATGATCGACCTCCATTACTGCTCGATGGCATATCAGCATCAACAACAACGCTACCGCTACCACCACCACCACCACCACTGGTCACTGTACTCACAGCAGAGTGGAACTCTACACCTTCATCTGGTGCTCCAGCATCGCTTGTACTACCATCCACAGGCTCAGCTTCAATTTCATCAACGTCTAAATTCACCACTAAGGAATGCCTTGCTGCCCTCAACGAATCCGCAGCCCCTCCAGTAACACGTTTGCATTTCTTGACCTTAATTTTCACCAAATTCGGACAGCCCGAAGCGAAAGCCATAATCCCCTCATCACTCACCTCACATCCCTTGATACAAAGCTTCTTCAGAGCCCCGCATTTACTGGCAATACATGACACTTCAGGATCACCAATTGTCTCGCTACCACAAAGAGCCAATCTTTCTAATTGCTGACAATTAGAAGCAATAGCAGAGAGACTAATGGAGGTAGGGTTTAAACCAATGAGGACCAGCTCTTTAAGTTTTGCACTGTTCTCAGCAATAGCAAGCAAGGCATCATCGCCTATCCGGTTCGTTCTCCATCCATCAATGTGAACTTTCCTCAATAGCTTACAGTTTTTAGCCACTGCTACAACACCTTCATCTGTGCATTCAGGAGTCCTAACCAAATGTAAAATCTCCAATTCCAAACAATTGGACACTGCTATGAGCCCAGCATCACTCACTTGAAGGCGCTCTAAATGCATTTCAACTAAACAATTTTGCCTAGAAGCAACATTCTCCAAAATGCTATCCCAATCCCCCAAACAACGCAATAGCTTAAGAGTTCTTAAATTCTTTGACCCAATGATCAATGGTCCAAAGCACTGTCCATTATAAAGCTCTTTCAAACAAATCGATTTCAGCGACGAAGCCGCCGCTCCTGGGCCAATTGGCTCAGCAGCGAGGCCATCGTTGATGCCGCGGAGGCGTTTGACCGATAGTTCCTCAAGGGAAGAGCAGTTATCGAGCAGAGCATTCATACCTTCGGCTCCGAACATGCAAGTCCCGCAGGAGAATTTTTTCAAGCTCTTACAGTTCTGCGCGAACGCCGCCATCCCGACATCGGTGACGTCGCGGCAGCCGTGCAGCTTCAGCCGCGTGAGGTTTCGGCAGCGGAGGGAGATTTGGACCAAAGCCTCATCGTTGATGCTCACGGATTTGCGGTCGCAGCGGAGGGCTAGTTTGGTAACGGAATCGTATCGAGAGAAGATGGCAGGAACATGCGGGAGGACATCGGATTTGGCGTTGAGGGAGAGACGGTGGCGGCTCTGTCCTTCCACGAGGAGCCACCTCCGGCAGACGAGGGAGCAGCTTTTCCGGTCACCGGAGCTCAAGGATTGAAAAATCAGCGCTAAGCATTCGTCAGGAACCCCGTCGCTGTAATCGCACCCTCCGAAACCGTCCTCCGAACTTGGCGCGGCGTCTTCATCCGACTGCACCATCGACAAAACATCCTGCTGTGAATGATCAGACATTGATCGGCGATGTTTAGCAACAGGCTTCGGATAACAACTACGGTTACGGTGAGTAGACCCACCAGGCCAGGATTGGTGGATCGACGGAGACTGGCCCATCCAGATTCGGCGATATAAGACACGAGGCCGATTCACGGCAAGCGCAATTCACGCGCCGCCCTAGATTCAACGCAGAATCGGGTGGTGTACAGATTAGATTTGGGGATGAAAAAAAAACAAACAAACAAACGAGCGATCGATGAATCTTTTGAGCAATTGGGGCAAATTGGCAAAGTTTTAATAGGAAGGAGGGTTTGACATTTGACCCGTCAAAACCAGATTGGACCGCCAAAGGGGCAACACCAATTTGTGCGCGTTGTCGCCACGACCGTCATGGCCGACTAAGTAATAATGGAATGTGGACGATGATTATCCAGAAGAGGTCGTGGCACCCATTTTTGTTTAAAATCATAATCATAATAATAATAATAATATAATAATAATAATATCATTTTTTTATTACTACCAACTCTATTACAACGTAGTATCTGTTCGTAATTACTTTTTCAATCAAATGAAGCACAAATAGTCAATATTGTCTCCACTGAGACTCGAACTCACAACCTCCCCTATAAGAGAATAACTTGATGTCATTGAATAAAATAACTAGGTCAAAAACTAGTGATCATTGACGATCGCCCACCGATCGCCGATATTTGACCTAACTTATTGGAATTTGGTCAAATGTTTGCCGAAGGATCGTCGGAATTGATTGAAACTCTAATTTACTTGCAATTACAGGTCACCAATAAGTTAGTGGATTTTATTGCTCTAAGATAACATGTTTGTGGATTTAATTGTAACTCTCTTAAAGTTTAACAGTCTAATTGACGTTTTGAGTAGATAAAGTTTAGGGACTTATTTGATCATTTCTATTAATATAAATATATTTTAACTTTTTAAAGGATTTGAGAGGTGTTGTTAAAAAACTCTCTTATAAGCATAGTTCACAATATAATAATGACACAATTAAATAATTGAAGTAGGAATATGGACTTAGAATTGATTTTGTCTTTATAAGTTGTCCAAATATGGCATTAAATCCAACAAAGTAATCTTCCTTTCACTTTTTGAAAAAGTTTTGGGTAGTAGCATGCCGGAGGGACCAAGTCTTGTGACAACTTTATGTCTTGTTTGGATGGAAAGGAAATACGTAGAAGCGCCCGTCCAAGACAAAGTATAAGATAAAGGAGAGAGCAATTTACAAGACGAAGATAATATGGATTCTTTTTATGCTTGAATTGGTAAAACTTTTACCACAATAAATAAATAAATAAATGCAATAAGAATTTTTACTATTTAGAAATCATATTGAGTTGCATAAGAAATAACAATGTCATGCTTAACTAGAAGGTTCTTTAATTTATATATAAATTATAATATATACTAAATATTTTTAACGGTATGTTAAATACTCAGTGACAGTGTTCGTCAAGAGAAGGCTGTCATCTAACTCTCTGAGTTATGGCGCCTGTGGGATTCAACCGAAGAAGAAATTTGATGTTATCTGGAGGTCAGTTCACATCCAAGTTACTCCGTTTCTTAATTCTTATTAGTGTGTTAGATTAGATCTAGGATGGAAAATAAGGTTTAAGAGTAGATGTAAATATTTGTTTTATGCATCTTAATTAAGCATTAAATAAAGCAGTCCTAATTCCTATCTAATCTGGGATGATTAGAGACCAAGTCCAGTTAGAGAAGACCATAGAAATTAATGATGCGGGATGGGGGTGGGGACTAGGGACGGAGCGAGGGAATTAAGGATGTTCCACGATTGCGGCCAGAGGTTGGACCAGCCCAAAATGGACAAGAAAACAATATTGTAGTAGGGACCGGCTGACCGCGTCATCCGCTCGCACAGTCACTACTAGAAGCCCGCAATTGCGCCGTCTCCGCAAACACAACTCCACATTCACGCCACTTTCTAGTAATAATAATAAGGGAAAAACTCAAATAAACATCCAACTTTATCTAAAAAGTCAATTAGTCTTTAATTTTTTTTAAAGTATAAATGTATAATTACACTCATCAATAATTTATTTTGATATACTGAAGTCCAAAAATCTTAAGATTTCAGCAACCCGCCAACAACATTTCAGACAATAAAGTTACTGGCGACCGGCGATTGGTCGCCGGTCACAGATTAGGAGACCAAGGTTACTTTCTCCGACCTAAGAAGGCGACCACCGTCGCCTTCTCTAAGGAGAGGAGAAAGCGACCTTGGTCTCCTTCTCCGTGAGCGACCATTCACCGGTCACTTTGTTGTCTGAAATTTAGCTGGAATCTCGTTAGCAGGTTGTCGGAACCCTAATGACCTGTGATAACAGGTCATTAATTGATTTTTATATTTCATTGCTTCAAAATAAATTGTTAATGAGTTTAATTGCACATTTTAAAAGTTTAAGAGACTAATTGACTTTTCAGGAAGGCCTATTTGACCCCTTTCTCTAATAATAATAATAATAATAATGTTTTATTTTCAATCTCTTTTGATTCCGCTTTTGGTATTGTAATTGATGATATTAAAGAAACTGCATCCTCAATAAGTGGTGTATGTTTCTGTTTTACTAAACGATCTACGAATTGTGATGCCCACTATGTGGCTCGCGGAGACCGTTTTTGTGTCGGGTTACAGCGAGTGGTTGGACACTCTGCCTACTTATCTTATTGACACTCTTTTATTGGATTTAATGCATTCAGTTATGGTTTTCCAAAAATAAAAAATAAAAAAAAAATAACAATAACAATAATACCCTCACACCTAGCCGATGATCAAATGAGTAAAGCATAATTCTCATACTTAAAAATTACGAATTCGATTATGTCTAACACGCTCTCGATTGAGCCAATCATCAACTTTTTAAAGTTCTAACTCCAACTTTTTTTTTTTGTTCTCATATTTACTTTTTTTTTTTGTTTTAATTTTGCTGCATTTTTTTTCTCTTAATATTCAACAATTTTAGCTAAGTAGGTAGCAAATTAAATTGATCTTATTATATGGAAGAACACTTCAAATTTATATATTAAAAAAATTTGAAAATTTAGGATTTTAAAAATATAACAGTTAAAATTTACATTTTTTTTATATTACTTTGGGGAGTAATTTCATCACAAGTTTTTTTATTACAAAGGAAGGAGAATAATGCTTGAACGAAAGATAAACGATGTCATTTATTTATGAACGGAAAGTTGGAGTTAGAACTTTAAAAAGTTGATGATTGGTCAAGAGTTGCGGAAGAGGAAGGAATAAAAATATAGGAGAAAAAAAGGGCCAAAAATGTTTTAATTGAGAAGGGTAAAAGATGTCATTTATTTAAAATAATAAAAATAAATATGAAAAAAATGTTAGAAAGCTCCTAGCTTATTTTTGAAATGCTACATAAGTTAGTTTTTCAAAATAAACTCTTATTTTGAGCTACTAGCTTATTTTTGAAACATTATCTAATAGAACTTATAACTTATTAATAACTTATAATAAGCTATAAGGTCCTAAATAAGCTAGGTCAAAACAGAACCTAAATTTACTTTATTGTAATAATTGAGAGACTAAAATGTATCATTTTTCCAATAATATACCTCCATACAGGTTGTTGGATACCTCAATTTATTGACCATTCTAAACTTTATCTTGATTCTCCATACGAAATGAAACATGAGATAAAAATGACAAAGTTGATTACATTATTCCGTTCATTATTCATTTGTAAACTTCTTCTTAAAAAAAAAAAAAAAAATATTGGTGACAAAATCAGTTGAAGATGTCTTAAACGAGTCACTTATTTTTATTTAATATTAAATTTAATAGTTTAATGTCATTGGTATATATAGATGAATTATTGAAATAGTAAACTTAAAAGTATGATGTCTTGAATTGCATTTGGTAGTACTAATTGTATCTTTTGTTTGTTTATTTATTTATCTATTTTTTATACATCCAACAAAATAAGATGTATGTATAACTCCACATTCACGCCACTTTCTAATACTTCGTAATAATAAGGACAAATAGTCAAATAGGCATTCAAATTTCATTTCTATAAACTTTTTAAAGATGCAATTACACTCATCAAAAATTTAGTTTGATACAATTAATAGCCCATTATCACATATCATTAGCGTTCTGATAACCTGCCGATGAGATTCCGACAAAATTCAGACAATAAAGTAACCGGCGAATGGTCGCCTAATCTTCTCCATTCACTTGGTTACACTTGTATGTTACTTTACTTTTCCTTGTTACTTTGATGATGCTCTTTGTTTAATCTTTAAACCTAGCTTTCTACGACTTTTATGCACTTGTGTTTAGTTACGCATTGTTCAAATTCACAACATGTGTCATTGTTAGAGAACAATATCCCGAGTAAATATCATATTCCGTCTTACTCAACTTACTTTTCATCTCACACATACTACGATTATCACGTTCCTATTTACTACCAAACAACGAGTTTATTTTTACTAAAATTCATTCCAATTATCAAATAATTGATTATGATATTTCAACCAAACCTCCCCCTACTATTCTACTAGACATCAAGTAAGCCCTAAGAGGAGTCGTTGTATTGCTCAATTTTTATGTCAAAGTGACATCATAATGAAAACCACATACAACCAATACTATCAACTCCTTAGCTACTTTAATTTATAGTGGTTTAGCACAATGAAACTAATGATTATATGACACAACATAATTTTTTGATAAAAATAATTGAAATTTTGATTATTATCTCATAAAATATTTGTGATTCCTGATTCGGAGGATATGCATCCATAAATATCTCATTATAATGAAAATAAATGGAACCTATCACATCTACTTCCTTATGTGCTTGGTCAATTAAGTGCACCAAATACACCATTTTATAGTTCAATTGCCACAAACTTTAGTTGGAAGTATATAGATGTTCGGTAAATGAGACAGAATCATTATACTTATAATGGTTCAAAAAATATTTGATCGATATTTTTCAAAAGAAATATTTTAGTGTTATTACTTAAATGTATCACTTTTTAAATTCATTCAATCAATTATAGTGTTTCAAGGTATCTGACTTGAGCTGAGTGTCACCTTGCCACGCAAATATATTTATTGGTTTAATTATTTTTTTTTGTTTTTTTATTGGTTTAATTAACTATATTAACAATTTTATTTAACAGAAAGTCTTGATTGTTTGCACATGCCTAAGCCACGACGCATTTTGCTAGGTCGAGGGCCTATGTAGCACATACATGAAAAATTGATAGTTTCAAACAATATAAGAAATGAAACATGGTGGCCGGGAACGTGTATAGGGATATGTTTACAAATATTTTGTTAATATGCATAAATATTAAAA